GCTTGCAATCGCGACACATGGTCGTCGGCAAGGGTTAATGCATAGAACAGAAAGAGTAGGCGGAAAAGGGTATCAGCGGTGATCCCATCAACACCGCGTCAGACAAACTAATAAGGTAAATAGATCGTCGTTAACCACAATGATTTCCAACAAAATCATTGGTATCGCGCGTATTTTAAGGATCTGATGTCATTTTCCGATAGAGTTGCTATTCATTCAAGCTCCGTGAGAAGCTCAAGAAGAATCGCGCATAATTCCAATTTCGGAACAGTCATCTTCAACTACTGAACCGTTGTTTGCTTTCACCCCATGCTCATTCCTTTTTACGAAACTGTACGGTCATCTCTCTTGTCCTGTCCAGGTGTTCATTTCCGGCGATTATTTTGGACACATAAATCCTGTTGAGTGAGAATTTACTCAATGCCCGAACGGTCATGGAAGCAAAGTTACCAAAGGTTGTTGATAGATGGGGTGCTGAGGCGCGGCGACCAATGACGAAGCCCGATTTAATGATCCCGATGTTCGCAATGGTGTTGTAACTTGTGACATGTGCGGCACTTCTCCCCGATGGTCGTTATCCTCGGTTTTGGTAACGGTATCATCTAGCTCACCGACATCGACCAGAGTCAGCGCACCGTTTCCCATTTCCAGCTCGATCCACCCAACTACCCCCATCGAACTTTCCCATGGCAGCCACTCTGTCGTTACCGAGGATATCGAGGGAAATGCCAGTCCTTAGCCATGGTAGGACCCCGTAAATCTCGGTATCCCCAATAGCACTGGTACTTGAACACCGGATGACGGATTACGAGTTCCGCGGCAGATTGACATAACAACATCATGCTTACATCGGCTTCAGACGACCCACACGTTCAGCTCCTGGCCTCGCTTCTCCTTCGAATCCTTCCATTCCACCCTTCCGCTTAATTATTTGTTAGCCACCCTCATCACCGCACGCTCGAGTTCTCTCCCAGTGTACAGAGCCGGTTGCGTGTCATCCTATTACGAATTTCGGTTCTTGGATTATGAATCCCACTGTTTCTACCCCTTGCTCGCACCCTACATATTCCTGATCCCGTGCCAGCCGACGCACTCCCTTGAAGGTGATGCAACAGCCATGCATCATTCCGAAGTGGACGCAGTGCGTGACCTGGATGGGTCCTAGATGAAGCATGCCTGAAGGCCTCGGCGCCGATCCAACTGCAAAACAGAATTCTCCGGCCACCCGCACCGATCTTAGGGTGCGTAGCGACAACTGTCTGAGCTTTGTATGGCGATCGAACGCCGTTTGATGCCACGAATCTCTACCGCCTTCCGTCCAGCAACAAGGCTGGATGACGGCTCCATTGTCTTCGATGTTACTTAAGTCGTCTGGTGGTTGTCACCCTTGGCCATGGTATGGTCCCCGTGAGTCTCGGTACTCTCCCTTTTCTGCTGGAGCATTGATGTCAGAGGCCTTGGTATGACAACATGACGCTCATACCGTCGACCCGCACGTTTAGCCCCTCTCTCCTTCTGACCCTTCCACTCCATCCTTCCACCTAAATTCTTTGCCAGGCATTCCTCGTCATCGCGCGCTTGGGTTTCTTCCCGGAGCATGGTACTTTGGCGCTTTCGATCAGCGCTTTCGCCTAGTCTCCCGAGTCGGGCGAGTTCATTGCGCCTTCCAGCGTTACGAATGTCAGTTCTTGATTCATGACTCTCACAGTCCCCACCGCTCGCTCATATGTCATCCCTAGTCCTGTATCCCTCGATCCAATCCTCCCGGGTGATACAACAGACTTACACCCTTTCCAAACCAAATGCATGACTCAGATGCGTCCCATTTTACGGCCTGCCACCAGCACGCACGAAGACCTCAGCGCCCATTTGTCTGTTGCAGGGAGAACCCCATTTCCCTGGATGGGAAACATAAGCGAGGGACCACTAATATGGTTTGATGGCAGAACAGAGTCCACTGGCTCCATGTACGCGGTACCCGCTGGTTAATTTGCGTGAACCATCTAGGAACCTCGTATGATGATCGAGTGCCGTTTGATGCTACGAATTGCGAATCTAAATTATTTTCCGGTCCAGCAAGGATGGGATTCGACTTGACCGGATGGCAGCTCCAATTGTCATCGAAATTAGCAAGTCGTTTAGGACATTCGCGACCGTTGGAGTCCCTTCCTCTCCACTTGTCAGTCACCTAGCTCGAGCGTTTCCCCGTCACCGCGTTATATATAGCCCCCGATTTGTACATCACTGCGCTTGACATTTATAATATTAATAATAACGAGTAAGTAGTAAATGCTGGTGAAGGGGAACATCCTCTAGCTCTGAAGTCGAACGTCGAAGCGCCACCACCCTGAACAAGGATCCGGACGCAATAGCATAGCTCGCATATATCTACATCAAGATTTCCTTGTATGGATCAGTTGAGCCAAGCGTCCTCCCGGCATTGGTTGCTGCACTCATGGAATCCCCATCCGACATCCACCTATGGCCCCATTGATAAACGTTGCTCCTACGATACTGGCAGAGATCTTGTCACTTTTGGGGGCCGAGGATGCTGCGAGCACGAGGAGCCGCATTCCGAACAGATTGTCTTTTTTCGTTTGGCATGAAGATTTGTACTTGAAATCTTCTGAGCCCAACCAGCAGGCCGTTCGTCAAAGTTGTCATCCTGGAAATTGACCCCCTCATGAAGATTAAATGCCTTTCACCTTGCCGACGATGTTCGATGCACTTGGATAGATTCATATACATAGTAATGGAAAGGAGTGTCAAAGTTTCTCCCCACCGGGTCGGAAGCAGAGTGGGTTTGGCAGAAAGATGAGAAGACAAATCACTGTTTGAATATCAGGGGACGCCTTCGAGTTGGTGGCTCTGGGGAAGAAACGGGAAGTTTAGCATGTTAAACAACCAGATAGAGCTGTGTTGATGCATCACGCGGAGACATTGCAGGGAGGGACTAACAACAAGTCCATTGTGGTGCAGCTCGTGTGATTGCCGTCTGGGAGTACATACACTAATCGAGATATCTTGTACGGGCGGGACTTTGTCATTCACTCGAAGTATTAAATAACATCTTCCACCCACCCATTCTCAAGGACAGTAGCGCTTGATATGTGGGGAAGGCTAGGTATTCCATGTTTTAGAACGACAGCGAAATAGAATACCCCGCTACTTGGATACCCGGAGGCGCGAGGTCGCCAATTAGAGTTAGAAGCGGACACTACAGAGAGGAGCGCAACAGTGCTATTACTAGCCAGTAGCTCGACAAAATAGTGGATGCCTGGCAAGTGATTAAGTTTGTGTCGGCGTCACACAAAGACATCCAGCCAGACACAGCCCACCATCAATAGCTCGGATCCTTATGCGAGGGGCGAAAAGGTCATTTAGAGCTGTTCTGGTACGACTCAGAGCATTGGAATCAAAGCAACCAGGTTGAAGCATGTTGCTGAAGAGCGAATAAACGATCGGAGTGACAAGGCGGACACCAGACGAGACTCTGATGTTCGTGTGTGCAATTCATTTGAATATTCGTGTATAGGATCGATGGCTCGCTGTGGCAGGAAACACAAGGCTGCGTTTGGTGGTCCGAACCAAATAACTGTCAACGACGGAGACCATGTCAAAAAATCGCGGGAAAAATACTCAAGAGAGCGTACTAAACACAGGTGGGTTCTTAGGAGTCCCTAATGCTTTTGGTAGCGTAGTTTACAATCCATCGCCCACAGAAGGGTACTTGAATATTTGTTGTCCTGATTCGGCAGTGGCTAGGACAGTACTGCCTTATATGTCGAGTGGTTGAGGGCGGTTCGACTCTGCTCTCTACCCACAACACCCTCTGCGATTGCTGATACACGATGTTCGATCGATTTAAGTTTTCTAAAAGAGGACACTCTCCTGCGCCTCCCGGTGGCCCGTCGCGACCCTCGACCCCTGTTCCCAACCTCCTGATCACTACTGCTCCAACTGAAAATGATGCAACAACTAGCACAGATCATGGTGGGTCTGACAGATCCCGTCTTAAGCCTCTTACTACTGCCGATAGTTCTCGAGGCCGGAAGCAGCGGTGGTCTGTTCGACACTCTATAGCTAAGCTGTTGAGCAGAAGTCCCAGTCCCGATCCCACTCATATCGACCAATCGAAGCCATCCGATCCCAGACAATCTGACCCCTCTACGCCCAATCCCCCATCCCCGGATCTATCGCCATCTCGCATTCTCCCTGAAGGGGGTACCAATATCTCTCACATGATGCCTATCGTCCATGGAAACACTGAGACTCCCCACCCACCACTAGGACACATAGGCGTTAAATCAGATATCCCGTCGTCAATAGATCGAACATCGTCTTCTTCAGTTGTCCCTGCTGGTGACGGGAAGAAAACAATCATCGCTGCCACAAGGCTCATCCTCCAAACCGCCGCCTCTGCTCTTAAGTTAGCCCCCATTCCGAATCTCGATCAAATACCAAATATACTCCTATCGTGGCTCCAAGTTTATGAGGTTCGCAGGGCGTCGCAATTTCGCGATCTAATGATATAAGGCAACCTCACGTTTTCATACAGACCTTCGACAACAATGACGAAAATCTCAAGGGATTAGACGATGAAGTTCAAAACGCTCACGAAACGATCTTTAGGCTTCTCCAGTTATGGACTGGCCAGGTTCCTCCTGAAATCCGCGAGCTAATTCAACAATTTAACTTGTATGTACATCCACTTTATCACTCTCCCATCCGAATCTCACCTCCGGGTGACAGGGCCCTAAGACAGCAATTGACGCAAATCGAAGCACTCAAACGTCAAAAGCTTGCCAAGAGGGCAATTTTAGCGACTGAGATATCCCAGGAGATAAACGCTGTGAAGTCCTGCATAAGTGATGCTGTCTCCCGTTTCACGGTTTGTTTCGTCAGTGTTCAGACTGTCCGTTAACTGACTGGGCATGCACCATAGACTGCGGCAACAACTCTGAATCTCTTCCACACAATTCGGTTATCGGTGGACTGTTCGTTGTACCCCCTTGTTGTCGCTGCTTAGGATTATTCAATGATATTCCAGATGAACTCTCGAAACTCTACAAAGCAAACGCGGAATACTCTGCCATAGAAAGCAAGTCGGAATGCCTGGAAAACACCTGTGTCCAGATTCAGGAATCGATACTCGATCATTTGGAAAAACGGGAGCACCGATTTGTCTGGCTTCGCGGCTCTCCGGGAACTGGAAAGACTGCTATATCAATGATAGTCGCGTCAACTTTCGACAAACAGAATCGCTTGGCAGCATCTTTCTTCTGGGACAAAAATCGGAAGGGTGCAGGACTTGCCTCAATCGAACACTTTCCCTCTACTCTTGCACGCCAGCTTGCCTTGTTTAATGCCGAGTACGAGGGTCTTCTTGTCAGTCGACTCCGACAGCCTTCATTATTGAAGGGTGTTCTTGGCTCCGCTCTGGAGAAGCAAATGAGAGCTTGGATTATTGATCCCATGCACAAACTCTTATCTTTGGGTGAGGGGCGCTCCGTCATCATCTTGGATGGACTGGACGAGTGTGGGGATCAGGAGGAACTTGAGTCCTTAATGAAGCTAGTACTTATCCTTGGTGAGCTGCCGGCCACATTTGCCGTGTTGGTGAGCTGTCGGCCAGAGTCATCTGTCGTGTCGGCTTGGGTTGGAGCTCGGGCTCAGGGTCTTGTCATCCCATATGAAGATGTGGACATTGTCGCTGAGGAAGAGAAATCCAACACTATCCACCGCATGGTGGAGGAAGGCCTTCGGGGTTGCATCGATAAGTCTTCCTGGAAACCATCAAAAAAAGATATCGATGTATTTGTCTCAGCATGTCGTGGACTACCTATTATCGCCTCAATCCGAGTCCGGGACGTCTGCATTCGAACTCGTCGTGGTGCAACCCTTCGATCCGAGTTCAAATACTTCCGTGACCTCATCGATGCCCCTGCTGACGTCAATTTGGAGTACCTGCGCATACTTCGCCGTGCCTATATATTCGACTCATCTGGAGTTCCTCCACATATAGTGGAGAACTACCGCCAAGTGGTTGCCACAATCAATGTGGCATTTGAGGCACTGAGTGCGTTTTCCATGTCGCAGCTATTAGGAATTGCCGAGGAAGAGGTCTTAGCCATATTGGATCCAATTCGCTCAATTGTCAGTTTTTCTGAAGAAACTGGCTTGGAACGTTCCTCGCAAACTTCATCAGAGGACTCAAAGGGTGTCAAATTCTATCATGCAACGATGAAAGAGTTCATTATGGGGGATCCGATTGGTAACGAGAATGACAAAGTATTCTTTATCAAGGATGTGAATAAGTATTTCCTCGGACCACTGCTCCTCCGAACATTCAATAACAGTTGTGAGCGGGATGTGTTTGGGGAGCCTGCAATTCCCCCTTTAGGAGACAAACGAAAATGGGATGATTTTATGGAGAGAAGACCTCATCACCCCCAGCATCTCCAATATATTCGTCGACATTTATTGAAACACTTAGATCCCTCACAGCTCTTTGCACAAGGGTCCAATTTGCAGAAAGAGTTTAATACATTCCTCACGCGAAACTTGGTTACATTTATGCACTTGGTGCAACATGCTCATTCGCGTTGGAAATTCCCTGCTGGATTTGATGAATTCAAGGTAAATAAAATCGTTGTGTTGCGATTATTTTGATAACGATGTCATTTTTTGTCAGAATTGCGATTCATTCAAACTTTTGAAAGAAGCTCGAGAAATGGAATTTGTGGAGTATCTGTATGTTATTTCCTTTGGACCATGGCACCTCCATCGATCAACCCTTCCTTTCACCCCATCCTCATCGCCTTTGTACAAACTCCATGGCCACCTCTCCGATCCTGTCCGGATCTTCACTATTTCCGGCGAGTTTTCCGGGCACAGAATTCCATTGAGTGAGGATTTACTCAATGCTCGAATGGTCATGGAGGCGAAGCTACCTGATTTGCCAGAGGTTGTTAGTGAGGATGTTGAGGTTGATTATAATGCCCAATTCAACGACCCTGATGTTCGTAACGGCATTGTGACATGTGCGGCACTCTCCCTTGATGGTCACCATGTAGTGCTTGGTTTTGGTAGCGGTGTCATTGAGCTTGCTGATATCGACCAGCAGTGCACGATTTTCCGATTCCAGCTCAATCCACCCAACCATCCAGTCTGGATCGAATTTGTTCATGGCAGCTGCCAAGTTGCTGCCGAGGACAATGAGGGAAACGTCACCATCCTTAATCACGATATGACCCCCATTAATCTTGGCACTCTTCCCAACGGTTCTCCTCCTGCTGTAACTCAAGTATCAGATAATGGATTATTTATCATACGGGTTCCACGGAACACTGATAGCTCTTGGTACGACAGCCTGACTCTCATATCCATTTTGGGTGACCCGCATATGCAGCACCTCGCACCCCCTTCTTCCAATAATTTCACTCCAACTTCCAACCCTCCTATCTTAGCCCCCGAGTCTTCTGCTTTGTCCTCTGCATCCATCAAAACTGACCCAGATGACATTATGCTCGCTATTCCTCACCGTCGCACGCTTGGGTTTTCTCCGGGAGCACGTTATATCGGTATTTTCGATGGCCTCAGCGCTTTCACCTGGTCGACAGATTCGGGTGAGCTCGTTGCGAGTTATTGTGTGACGGATTTCAATTTTTGGATTATGCATCCTGCTGTTTCCCCCACCTGCTCTCATCACACCCCTGATCCTATATATGCTCGACCTACCCTTCCCTTGACAGAAGGCGGAGCAGCAGATCGACATCATTCCGAAACAGATGCAGGGAATGACTTGGATGAGTCCTGGATTAAGTGTCCATTTTATGTTCTCTTGCAAACTGAGGACAATGAGTGGGGCTGGTGGGACAAGAGATGGCAGAAATGTTTATCCCATTCGTCTGCTGCCGGAAGAACCCCACTGTTTGGAACCACTAGACGTGATGGGCCAGCAGTTCTCTTCAATGGCAAATTAGAATTCGTTATTCCCAAGAAGTATTCACCAGTTGTTTCTTTTGGTGCCAAAGGTCTAGGCACTTGGTATGGTGATCAAGTGCCAGCTGATCCTACCCTTCTGTACAGCCCTCGGTCCAGCAAAGATGGGACTCGAATCCTCCTCCAAGGCCAGCAGACAGCTCCAATTGTTATCGATCTTAGCCAAGTCATTTAGGATGTTGTTTGTCCTCAAGCTCAAATGTTTTTCTCACAGAATTGGAATTGTGGAACAATGAACCAACAGAGTGAGCAGGCCCCCCATTAGCATGCACAGAGGTTGCTTCACCCTACCTGCATGTGTGACACTATGACTGTGCCTTGTGCGTGCTATCTGCATTCAAGATCGAGGGGGAAGCATCAAGTTTTGCTAGGTCGTCCTTCCATCCTTCTGGACTTCCCCTCGCCGACTTTCCCTCTCCCTAGGACGCAGTGCGCATAAATAACCCTGGGACTTCAATGGACCCATGAGCGTTCTGTCTCTGCACTGTCTTTTGAGTCCCAGTCAGGCAAAATGAATGCTTAGTATTGCAAATGCAGAGACTTCTGATCTTTCTCTTTTCGCAGTTCCTCAATTCCCTCTCACTCCATGTCAGAATGAAGGTTTTCTTTGAACATATTAAAAGATTAATATTTCCTTTGCCGCTTCCATCACTAGAGTGCATGTGTTGCATGTGTCCCCTGCACAGCTCTGAAAATATTTTCATTGGCACACAGAAGAGAAAACATCCAAGAAAGTACAAAGCAGAGAAGAGGAAGAAACTCTGCAAAAGATATTATTCTCCACACACCATACTGAGACACCAATGATGAATGACATACAGAATTTTTTCTTTGAAGGGGAAGTACCCACAGTGGACAAACTTGCGAGTGGAACATCACCTTGACCGAAGACACTGATGGAAGAAATCTTGAAAGCCGCCTTCTTCAAACTCATTTCCTTCTCAGAAAAACGTTGCAGGAAACAATCTGCCAGAATGATGTGACCAGGCAACAGTTCTCCATTGAAATGCTTATTCTTCTTGAATTGAGGAGAGAACAGGTGGGAAGCATCAAAGATGCAATCAAAGGAGCCCTACATCAAAGGAATGGGGAAAATGGCCCTTTAATCACAAAGCAAGCATGTACCTTAGGTGTAAACACAGCCAAAGGAATATGGTCACTTGCGATGCAGGGCGACTTTACTCCCTCTATGAAAGGTTATCTTACTAGTTTGGGGACGGTAACGTTCCGTTCCCCCATTCGCCTCAGGCCTCAGTAGTCCATCTAAGTATACGCTTGATTTGGCTGTATATTGACGGGGTAGAAGTAAAGGCTAATCCGCCTTTTACAGCTACCCCGAGGGTTTATATACAATCTTATACATTCTCGGCACAAATAAATAGAGAAGCTTCCGCGACGCTAAATTAGCGTCGCGACATAATTATTACACAACACAACATCAACTGATGTTGTGGGCGGAATATAGACATGGGCCAGGGCCTCACATCCTCCTCCCTTGCGATACTAGATCGCAGACAGGGTACTAGCATATATACACAAGGGGAAAGCAAGCATTTTAAAGAAATAAAAAATTTTTAACGTTCTACATACGAAGGATGTATGCAAACGGGGGCACACTCATTGCAGGAGGCTATAATAGTATTTTGTAGGCGAAGCCCACTTAGAGTTTCTCCTGGAACATATGCACCCAGATCTCGACGACAGTGTTGTCGATGATGGAATGACTTTCTCGTCGTTGTGAGTTTATTAAATACCATCGTCCACCGTGACGATGTTGACAGTGTAGGTCGTCGATGGCAGAGTTGTCGCTGATGAAGAAAATGAATAATCAATGACGTTTGCGTTGACGAAGGACAAAGGGTACAGAATAGACAATCAACGACAGCATTGTCATTGATGAAGGTAAGAAATTATTAATCAACGACGGCCTTGTCGTTGACGAAAGTGAGTAATCAACGACGGCATTGTCGTTGACGAAGGTATGGATGTGAGGGGGTCAGTTCCTCATTTGTTTACGCGGCGCTGACCCGGAC